TCATAAATTATAAAACAAATGTGCTCTGATGTTTTCTGACAGGTGATGTCTAAAGCTTTGGAAATCACATCAAATTACAATAAATCCAAATTCTGAGGTCGAACTGCACTCGCAGCTCAAGCTAAGATCAAGAAAACCTCGAGACCAAATCACTGGTTTCTGCAGGCAGATTTATTACAAAAAAAACCTTATGTAAAAAAAAAAACAACAAAAAACAAGATAAAAATGAGATTTAAGTTAAAACCAGTCTGTTACAGAATCTTTTCCAACATACAACAGCAACTAAACACAAACAGTTGTGGAGTGGGAAACCACACATTCAGTACAAAAACCGTTTCATTTTTTACAAGATATAAACAGCTGGAAGACGTGTAAGGCCGTCTGTCTGTCTGTCTGTCTGCTTCCATTACAGACCTTCTGTTTTTAGTTCTTCCACGGTATCAGTTTTCACAAAGAAGCAGCTCTTGTTTCCTTGGTGGAGACAACATCCTCAAGGATCAATCCATTGCTAGTAAAATTTCTCTTGTGTCTAAAAAAATCTTTTATGTCCCGTTTGGCCGTCAGTCACAAGCTGCATCAGAACCGTCAAAGTGGGGGTGCGTTACAGGAAGCTGGGAGTTGGGATTCCACTGGTTTTACATTTGAGTCAAAGCTCTGTCTCAGAGCAGAGTCCAGTCATCCTGGAAACAAAGAGGCTCCTGAACTGAGCCCCGTCATTCAGCCGGACATCACAAAGCCTTCTGTCTGTCGTTCTCAGGTGGTTGTTTTTATGTCACATATGTTCAAAAGTTCAAAGCTTCATCGTTGTTGAAGGTGCATACATTTCTTCTACATTTGTTTTTGACTCCACACTCTGCAGACCACACCAGGTTCACTTCTTATTCTGGTTTTCATTGTCATTTGTAAGCAGGATGATGCAAAAACGACCTTCTGGTACAGACTGAGCTCACACACAGAGGAGTGAATTACATTGACGGATTTATTTTTTTTTTTAAACATCAATGGAAGACGCCTCTCCGTGTGTGAATTAAAGTAAATCTTGTTATTTTACAGCAGCCTGCCGTCAGTGTTTTTTGTTTGAATTAAAGTTGCTAATGAGCAGCGTCACGTTCAGCTGGTTTGAATCGAGTTTTATTTTTTTAAACACACAGTCTGTTCTGGCATCTGTGTCTGTCGCTGTCCAAAAAAATAAAAAATAAAAAAAGGCAAGAAAAGCACAGAGTGCTGCAGGACGGTGCTGGACCGGCGCTGAGCCTCCTCCTGGTGGTGGTGGTGGTGGTGGTAGCTCGTGAAGTGTGGCAGCAGCGTGCAGAGTGGCGACACGCCTTCGCTCCTCTGTAGCACCTGGTAGTTTTCGGGATGTTTTTGGTTTTCTACCTGAGCTGCGGTTCGATCAGCTGGTGTAGTCAAACCTGCCGTCTACATCCCATTGAAGCCCCCTCCTCGCTGCCCCCCTCTGTACCTGGCTCCGCCCTGACCTGCAGGGCCGTGGTATCCTCCCAGCAGTCCAGGGCCGCTGAAGTCCCTGCCGCTCTGCTGGAAGCCCCACACCAGGGCAGCCGCACCTGTGGGGCCTAAACCCGCTGGCCATACCGGCGTGTGCCCCAGGAAGCCCCTTATCCCCCCCAGGGAGGACAGGGGCCCCAGCATAGGGCCCGGGGAGAAAGGCTGACTGTGGAGTCGAGGCAGCAGTGGGGGATGCAGCAGGCCGTCACCTCGCTGCTGGCTGTGAGGGGCCGGGTTCAGCTGCTGTTTATTCGGATGCTGCTGTAGTTGGGGCACAGCAGGTCTCGGGTTGCCGTCCTGGTCCGTTACCGCGGTGATATTCCCAGTTACTTTGGCGCTGCTGGCTGTGCTGTTGGCCGGTGCTGCTTCCTCAGCTCTGACTGGCTGCTCCCGACCTGACGGAGCGCCGCTGCAGGGAGGAACAAGAGGAGGGTCATTAAGAACAAACAGGAAAATCAGGAAACACTGTGTGTGGAGCTGAGATGCTGCCGCAGTCAACAGAGCCGAGTGACGGCGTTCGTTCTCTTTCTCTAGAATCTCTTATCTGATTCCACACGGGGATATCTAGCCTTGTTGCATATCCCAGCTTGTTAGGAAGCTGAGGTCAGAGCGAAGGTCAACCACAGCAACACTCTGGCAGGTCGAGGTGTTTTCTTTTGTTGCCATTGTCTTTTTCTTTTCATCATTTTCTTTATTCCACATAATAGTCGTGTAAAAGAGGGAAAGAAATGAAGTAATAAATCTCACATCTATTCTTTTTTTAACTACACCATCACTGATGCTTTGGCAAACTTGTTGACCTGATATTCATGACACTAACCTGAAAAAATGTCGCTTAGGTTCTACATCATTTATTGAACTTTTAATTGTTGTGATTCAGCTGCTGGAACACACACACTCACCCGGGAGCTTCAGAACCAGTTCAAATATTACAAATCCATCATATTGGAGACTGAATTCTGATCGATCCAGCATGCCGTAGAACTGACCTCGATCCGTCGCCGTCTACAGAAGCAGCTGCGGTGCTGCAGGTCGCTGCAGGTTCTGCTTCTTTATCTCTCCGCTTATTGGCTGAGTCAGTCCGACTGCTCGCTCCTGCTGTCTTGTGATTGGGTGGAAGGGTAGACGAGTCAGTGTTACCGGGACCGCTGCTTCCTCCCGCCGTTCTCAGAGCACCCCCTCTCTGATCTGCAGCCTCTGCTTCTGCTCGGGGTGCCTCTGTGGGAGCCTTCTGCCTCTCCTCCTCCAGCTCTGGCTGCAGCTCAGAGTGAATGAAGTCCAGAGTGGCTGCCACCGCCCTGCCAGGAGTGAGCTGGACCGAGTCGTCGGGAGGAGGGCTGCTGTGATCGCTGCCTGCACCAGCCGGAGTGTCAGTAAGGCTCTTGATGGGGTTGATGCTCAACTCCGCCTGCAGCTCCAGCAGCTGCTTCCGCTGTTGTAGCTGTTGCAGCTGCGCCTGACGCTCCGCACGCAACTGCGAGATGGCCTGTCGGAGAACCTCGCAGTCTTTGTCTGAAGGAGGCAGGACTCCTTCCCTGCAGGAGGCGTCTGGGACGAGCTGATCGGAGAGGTGGGGGAGAGAGGGGTGGCTGGAGCCGGGCTGAGGGAGGACCTGCTGGGGCTGGTGGCCAGAGGGCAGGGAGTGGACGTGCTCTGGGAAGGTGGAGGGAGAACGTTCAGAACCCGACACAGAGCTCCCCTGATTGAGCTGCCTGCTGTGACCTGAGGACAGAGATGAACACTGAGTAGAACCCACAGACTGACAGGAGAACGCTGAGAGACGGCAGAAGAGGAGACACATGAACGATCAATAACAGATTCACTGGCGAAATGAAACAAATACAGCCGCTGTATCTTCCCACCACTTCAACTGCTTCATTTTTACTGCCTGTACACGAGCAACTCCACGAACAGACAGAGTAAATATCAGGTTACACTGCAAATGAGATGCATCCTCTGCAGTAAACAACCTGTGGCTGTAATAACGTCTTCACAGTGGTGTGATATTAAACTATTTCTCAAAGCTGATCTACACGATGGAGCAACTTGTTCACTGTCGTTATCGTTAGTCCAGCTGCTGAAAACAGCTGCTCAGCTGGAACAGACATCCAGAAATACTGTCGCAGCAACTTGAGTCCAGAAAGTCTGTCAGAATTAGGAGCCACCTCTGAAATGGATTTACACTCAGAGCAGAGCGTCACTGATACATTCATCACTTTACAGGTTACAGCTGCTCTCTGCTGACAGACACTCAGCTTTAGACTTTTAATCAGTTAATTTATTATTAATGTTATCATTTATTAATAAATCGTTAACATCCTCATGTTCAGCACTTTGGGTTATGACCACACAGTAG